ATACGGGCACTAGTATTCTGCTCTAAAGCTTAGGAGTACTCTTTCAAACTAGCCACACTGCAGAAGTTCAGCTTTAAGGCTCAAAGCTGTATGTGCAGATACAGAAGGACCCAGATAATTCATAACCAGGTGGCTCTACAATCCACTTAATTAGCACCAACATACCCCAAATGGGTCCAGCTTTTGCTTCAAAAGAGGCTGCTCCTCTGATCAGCTGGAGCTCATCAGTGGTTTTACACAACTGATTGGAGAAGTGGCTTGAAATAAAAGCCACAGAAAACATCTGGGCCACCTCAATTGTCCTGTATTCCTATCTGCTGTAGGTATATAAGCCCCTAGCTGGTTTGTAAATTGGGGAACTCAAGGTTGGATGGATGGTCCAAAAACCCTCCCCAAAACCACATGGATCTGGAAAGAGGCAAACACCAGATGGAATCACAAACCCTACCATTTACTTTATTATATTTCTCTTGGCCAACCAATATCTCCCTCAGAGCCTCAGTCACTTCATTTTCACACATGGTTCACTCTCTTCTAGGACTTTAGGGAAGCAGAACGGAGTGGGTCCATACTGATGGAACTATGCCCTTAAATGCATTGGGCTTTCTCCTCTGCATACTGAATAGCAGGGGTGTCAAACTCACTCTGTGCCCTGGATTGGATCCAGACCACGGGGCTCCTCTCGGGCCTGACCTGCAGACAGAGCCAACCCTAGCAGGGTGTGGGGCCTGGGGCAAATCAGCCTATGTGGGGCCCCTTTAACACTGCGTGGGGCCATGGGACCCCCACAAAGGCAGGGCACAGTAGTGCCGTAGCAATTAAATTTGGTGCCTGGGGCGAAGAAGGTCCCACACACCCTGGATGAGCCACTCTTTAGTGGATGTGAAGCCGGCGGCGCGTGGTGAGCGGTCAGACACTTTTTCTATGGCATGGGGCTGAGCTGCCAGCTCCAGGCGGGCCCTGTGGGAGGGGCCGTGGCCACTCTGTCCAGCTCTGCAGGTCCCCCCAATGCATGGGGGCTGGGATGTTTGCCTTGATTCGCCCTACCCAAGAGACAGCTCTGCTCGCAGCCCAAGCAGTAGCTGGGGTGGAGTCAGTGGCAATGAGGTGGAGGCACTGGTGGTGGCAGGGCAAGCAGCTGCTTGTTGTGGCAGGGTTGACACAAGTGGCAGTGGCAGTAGTGCCAAGTGACTGCAGGCCAAAAAGCCCTCAACACAGCCCTCACTCACTCCTCTGCCACTGAGGGCCATGTTCAGTGGGACCCCAGATTCTTCAGCAGGTCCCACCCCCAGCTGGCCACAGCCCTAAATTCCCTAACTTGCCAGTAATCCAGTGGGTTAAGAGTCGCTTTGTAGGCCAAATTCAGCCCAAGGGCTGTATGTTCGACAGCCCTGCTATATAGGATGCTGTCTGAAAAGGATACGTAAAACCCCTCTGTATCTCAGTCTGCTTGACTGGTAACAAGATGCTTTTCAAGACAGCACTCACTACAGACTATAAATCAAAGTGCTTTGTTATGCAAGGGAGAGACAGAGAAGGGAACCTTGCTAATTAAAGACAAGAGACAATATAGGACAGAAGGTCCCCAGTAAAGGACATCCTTTTCCACCTATTAGGTGTCTAAGCACAAACATATTTCATCATGCTTGAGTCCCTGGAAAACCATTAATGGAAAAGGTGGGTTGGTCATCTTCCTTTCTGTTGTAACTTCATTTAAGGCCAAGATGGCAGTGTATTACAAATATAGATGTGTCAATGGATTTTCAGGGACTTCATTTAGGCAACTCAGTGGAGTAGGATTTGGCCTTTGGTTTATAAACTCTTCAGGGCAGGGATATTCAAAGCATTTACCATAGGTTTGGGCACTTTGTAATAATACATGATAGCTTTACAGATTCACAAAAGTTTAGGGATGGAAGGGACCTCATGAAGTCATCAGGTCCAGTTCCCCTGCTCTGGGCAGGAAAGATTGCAGGGGTCAAATAATCCCATCAAGGTGTGCGTCCAGTCTCCTTTTGAAGATCTCCAGGGTAGGTGCCTGCACCACCCCTTGGGGAGTCTATTCCAGAGTCTGGTCACACGAACAAGGGGACGCATTCAACCTGTGCCAAGTGATCAAATAGCGCTTGGTCAGGGAAGTGTGCCATTCTTGCAAGTGGTCATTTAGACTGAGATTTTCAAAGGGGTGTGAGGGAACTGGGTTCAGTGGAAGTTAGCTGCTGCTTTCCTTAGGGCCACTTGAAATTCCTGATTTTAATGGAGGGTGGAATGTAAGGCAGTGCTGTCCAACATCTAAGTTGGTGGCTACATGCTCTGCAGGCCACATGGGCCACACAAGAGTGAGGCACTGTCTTCTCCAGGCTGCATGTTATGTGGACATTTCCCATGGCACCACACACTTGCAAAGGTGCTTCCCACCCACTGCTGCACTGTGCACCTGTGCAGCCCTGGTTTCACCCTCAGCTGCCTGTGCCATGCCACACCTTCCTAGGGCAGGGATAGGCAGCAGCAACATGAGGAGGGAGGGGAGCCTGGAGACTCTGGGGCCCTAACAGCTGCAGTGATGCGGGGAGAGGTGGCTTGATGGGAGCTGCAATGCAACTCCTCCCAGGCTGCATGCAGCCTGAAGGCTGCCAGTTGGACAGTCCTCATCTAAGGCAACCAAGGATGTAGAGCACCTCCCATGCAATGTTGACTCCCTGAGCCGCTACTGATTTCAATGGAAGCTGAAGGCAAAGAGTACCTTGGAAGGTCAGACCTGAAAAAGCTGAAGAGCTGATGACATGTTTATTCTTATTTTTATATCATCTAAAATAATTTCATCTTTCTTTTTTTTTAAAGATGCTTTTAGCTTAATAGGTATGTTTGGCTGTCTACCATTAAACATCCCAAATCAGAGACTTCTGCTGCATCACACATGAAGTTGCCAACAGAGCTGATGCCAACAAATGCTTTCCAATTCCAAACAGAAAGAAAATGATATAAAACCCATTTCCCCTATGGTCGTTTAGTAGGTTTAGAAAGCTATTTTAAAGGCTATCACAATGTCTCTAAGTCCAATGGAGTAGATTATGATTTAAAACTACAGAAACATCTTTAAGGCATGCATAGGTATACTTATGTTTGGTAGGAAATAAACAAACTGACATTAGATGAGCCAAAGGTCTCTCCACGATGGCTGTCAAAATCCTACTGTGCAGGTCAGACTTTTAAACATTACCAGGGAGCATGAGCTACAACAGACTCTAAATGAAGCATTCATGGCATGATCACTGCTGACCACATGACAGGCAAACAAAACAAGATTATGCACTGGGAAAAAGCTATACACAAACTAAATTTCAGTTAGGAAAACAGATGTCTTCTAAAGGGAACACCTATTTATTTGGTAGGAAATTTACCACAGGTAGGAAGGGTTATACTTTTAAAAATATGCCACAATATAATGCTTAATGTTTTCCTACGTGAATGCTAGGCTCAAAAGGCTACTTTTTTTAAACATGACATTATATGCTCAATCCCTGCTTTATTGTCACTACCATGAAGGACAAAGAGAAATTGTTTTTGTAAAAAAGGAAGGAAAAGTAGAGAAGGAAAAGTAGAAACTTACCAATATACAGTCGATGTACTCCTTCCTTTAGGGTAAAGGCATCTATAAATTAAAGAACTGAGCCACAACCCATCTAACTTCCATCTGCTTCTATATAAGTATGCATCTGGTTGACTGAGATTGTAAGTGATATAAATACAAATAGACCTCTCTTACTCTCTGCCCCCTCCCCCTTTTTCTCAGGTTCAGTTTAGCCTTGCCTTCAGACGCTATTTTTGTTACTAAAATCAACAACAGCCAGCAGGAGAGAGGATCCAAGACTTCTGGCATGCGATTCCTCCAAACAACCCAGGTTATCAGCCTGCAGAGGCAGGCAGTGTAAAGATCAGATGCTCTGCTATTGCTGAGAATGCTCTGCTGGACGAAAGTTGTTTTTGAATTCCTTGCTTCACAGGTTGTGGAAAACAAGGATATTGTCCAAAGGTGACAAAAAGAACATCTTTAAAACAAATGTAATAGTATTTATTCGTCTTCTTCACTGCAAATAATCCCAGTGAGCCTTCCGAAACAACGTGCTAGTGGAAAAGGCATGGAAGGGCCAGATAAAAACTTCTGTTTACTGTGTGGGTGGGGAGAGAGGCTGATCCCCTGAGTACTTGGTATGCTAGCTGGCAGAATGAAACGGGTTATGAAAAACACTTCTTCCTTTCTATTATGTATTCATATTCATCTATCCTGTTACTTTTCACTGGTCCACCTTATCAATTCAACAATTGTTAAACTACTTTAAACCACTCTGAGCATCTGTGCACCTCTTGTTTTAGTTGTGCCTGCTTTTGTTTCATCTAAGATATTAAAATAAGTAAAGCAAGAAAACACTTACCTAGGGGGCTCAGATTTGTCTTCTGTAGTTCAATAGTGGCCTCTTTATAAAGTGCTCATGGAAAACAAGGGCCGCGATGAAGCAAGGTACAAGATCTAGCCAAAAAGGCCAAACAAGGAAACATCCTGAAAATATTGTCTGCTGAGCAGAATGGTAAGTTAATGAGTGCAAGAGCACTAACTTGGTATCCTTGTTTCTTATGATGAACCAACTTACTGGGAGGCCAATGGGAGGGTGAAAAGTCTGTACTTGGAAGTCAAAGGGCATTTGGAAGGAGCTGATAAAGCAGATCAAGTGTCTTTGGCCACTGGACTGAGTCAAAGCAACTGATAATGGGGATTAATAGGAATGCAGCTAATTTGAGCAGAACAATAAAGTACTTGAATTAAAAAGTGGCAATTTTTACTCATACCTCCACAGCCTCATTAAACCACTAACACAGAAAGCATGATGGTCACCTTGTACTATATTACATTGCAAATAGTAACAAAATTGTATTCAACAAAGCTGGTGATGTTCCTTAGTTTTTTTTCTTTTGAAAATATTCTCATGAAAAACAAGTTTCCTATGATATATTGTGGCATATTTCTCAAAGAAAATACTATTCAGGTTGGAACAAGTTTATAACAAATGTGACATTGCAATGGTTGCACTACTTAAAAGCAAGCTTAAAGGAAATCAGCACATGCCAATCTTTTTAAACAAATACTTTTCAAGCTGGTGAACTGCCAGTTTCTATTCATCAAGTTTTTTTAAAGTTTGCTAATGATAGTGTGGAGACTTGTACGGGTTGCACAATTGTAGCTGACAGTATCTTGAGTTACACAAGTCTCTGGTAACATATGCTACAGTATATCAAGAGTTTTTTTGGCAACAGAATTGTTTTGCAGGCATGTTGTTTGTTCTCTATAAAAAAAAGTCAACCCCATCTTGTATTATTCCTTAATGAGCAAAACTGTTAACTTTTCATTTTGCCAGAGCTGTGTAAACAGACTTTAGCATAACTGAGAATCAGGCGTTTAAACTTGATTGAATGTTTAGCTATTTTCTCAGTTCAGATTTGCACTTACTTCCAAACTGAATGCCTGTTTCAACTCCCAGCCACCAGATCTTGTTTGACTGTGCTAGGTTAGAGAGCTCTTTATTATAAGAAATCTTTTTTCATACAAGTGTTTAGCATTTATGAACATATTATGAGTATTTTAAGATTATTTCAAACACGCAAACTCAAAATTTGCCCACCATTTGTCTTCAGTATGAATTGCAGGGGAAATTATTTCTTACCCTTATAAAACAATTTAAAAAAATGAACCCCCACAAAACCTCCTATATTTATGCTGCAGCAGTCCAACCCAGGCAGCAGTTTAGATACCTATAATCCAATTCTTCGACTGCAATAGCTGTAGACTACTCTTACCTATCTTGTGCATTATAGCTATCCAGACTCATGTTTGCTTTTGCAGAGATGAAGAACAGAATAATGTTTGCCTTGATAAGCACTCCCATATTTTTTTCTATGTTTGCTTATACAACTGCTGCTGCTCAAGAGGGCTCCCTTGATACTTTGCTCCTGAAGCAGTGTTCTAAGATCATGCTAAAAGTCTCGTGTGCTGAAGTCTTGCCCACACATGCTAACCCCTACTCAGCTAGTGGTGTGGCTGCACCAGTGCCAACCCCTTAAAAATAGAGAAGAGCAAGGTAATTTGGGGATCCCCAGTTAACCAGTGCAGGTTCCCACATGTCCCTGTCTATGCCTGGGGACAGTCTCTGAGCACTTTTACAAAATTACTATATGCAGAATTAGGCCTTGTTCTCTCAATCAAAGCTTACTTTCGACTGAACCATCTGAGTGACCCCTGCAGGAATGCCTGGTGTGCTAGTGTGTTGTTTTTTTTTAAATACCAAGTTCCCATTGAATTCAACAGCAGTTTGCCCAGGAGCAGTTAAGATTAAAAGTTCTTTCAGATCTTTATTCGGGAAAATCCCTGGATGCTAACTAGTTCTGTTTAGCCCTTCAACTTCAGAAGGACTTGTTCCTAGAAAGAGGAGAGGGAACTAAAATGCTAGGGTATATATTCCTGGCTGTTCAAGGTTTTTAATTTAAGAGCTGAATGAAAAATGTGCTGGAGAGCTATGCTTAGATGTCCAAAATAAGTCCCCAGGGGCAGACATACGCTTAGAGAGGGATCTTCCTCCGTTACGCAGCGCAGGTGTTGTTAAACAGGGCAGGATTACCTGTGGAATCTTGCTGTAGGTTTAAAAGCGGTCGTTCCACAAGGTAAATCCAACTGACAGCTGCTGGTTACTTCTGATCTCCCTCTGGTCTCTCTGAGTGCAGCCCCAGGGTGTCATGTTTCCTGCTTTCACTACGCTTGGGCTGAGATGCTGCGATTCTGGTTGTGGGTCAGGCCGTGTCAGCCAAGCTTACCCATCAGGTTTGAGCATTTAGAAGAAAAGGGCTTCAAAACCACAGTACACACCTCTTAAAGGCTTACTAGGCTTGGGACCTGCCAAATGGAACTGAAACAGGTGTCCGAATGACTGTCTGAAGCACAACTTCCTCTCTTCATTGCTGGCCTTTTTGTATTTCCCAGAGCTCTTACAACTTTGTGCATCCCTGGGCCTTTAGATACCTCTGTCAGCTCTTAAATGCTTGCCTGCTATGGCTTATCCTCTTTAATTCCTCAAATCCCTCAATTAAACCAAGCCACTATATTCATCCAGTAAACATTCCCATAACCAGATCACATCCTATACACAAATCGTTACCAAGCAGCTCCAGTTCCTTTTCAGATCCAGCCCTGATTTGGGCGGGGGGGGGGGGGG